CAGTAAATAACAAGCCTATACTGGAAAGATAAAAATGCTTAATTTTAAGAGAGCAAATTTTCCAAGGCAGAGGGCTGCACTCCAATACTTAGACTGGGAGAGAATATTGTCATCAAAGAGCACAGACCAGAAATGGAAATGCTTCAAATTGACTATATGTGAACACACTAAAAAATACAGTATATTCCCAGAGGCATCAAGTTTAAAAGGTGAAAAATAAAATGTAACTCACGTCTAAAGTTAGAAAATCTATAACTAATAGGAAAAGGTCACTTCAAAATTCAAAATATAACAATGAAGGCATGCTATCATCATTTAAGACAGCGGTTCTCAACCTGGGGGTCGCGACCCCTTTGGGGGTCGAACGACCATTTCCCAGGGGTCGCCTAAGACCATCGGAAAACACATATTTCCGATGGTCTTAGGAACCGAGACACCGCTGCTGTCTCCGGCGATGTGTGGGCGGGATGATACGCTGCTCCTGTCACCTGGCCACACCTCCGGGATCGCTCAGCAGCTCCGCCTCCTCGCCGCTGATTGGCCACCGGAACTGTAGCTCAGGAGAGGCACACAGGCGACCAATCACCGGCGAGGAGGTGGAGCTTGGAGAGGAGGAGCCGAGCGGCAGCGCGCGTACATCAAAGAAGACCAAGGGAGCTGCCGGAGCGAGTGAAGAGGAGAGCGGCCAGAGAAGGAAGACAGCTGACAGGTAAGTGAGAGAGCGAGCCCAGGCTGGAGCAGGGGTCAGCAAAGTAAGTATCATTGGTGTCAGTGGGAGGAATAGTGCCCCATCATTTGTGTCACTAATACCAACGATGGGGCACTATTCCTCCCCCCACTGACACCAACGATGGGGCACTATTCCTCCCCCCACTGACACCAACGATGGGGCACTATTCCTCCCCCCACTGACACCAACGATGGGGCACTATTCCTCCCCCCCACTGACACCAACGATGGGGCACTATTCCTCCCCCAACTGACACCAACGATGGGGCACTATTCCTCCCCCCCCACTGACACCAACGATGTGGCACTATTCCTCCCCCCACTGACACCAACGATGTGGCACTATTCCTCCCCCCACTGACACCAACGATGGGGCACTATTCCTCCCCCCACTGACACCAACGATGGGGCACTATTCCTCCCCCCACTGACACCAACGATGGGGCACTATTCCTCCCCCCACTGACACCAACGATGGGGCACTATTCCTCCCCCCAACTGACACTAACGATGGGGCACTATTCCTCCCCCCACTGACACCAACGATGTGGCACTATTCCTCCCCCACTGACACCAACGATGTGGCACTATTCCTCCCCCCACTGACACCAACGATGGGGCACTATTCCTCCCCCCACTGACACCAACGATGGGGCAGTATTCCTCCCCCCACTGACACCAACGATGGGGCAGTATTCCCCCCCCCACTGACACCAACGATGGGGCACTATTCCTCCCCCCACTGACACCAACGATGGGGCACTATTCCTCCCCCCACTGACACCAACGATGGGGCACTATTCTCCCCACCACCACACTGACATCAATGATGGGGCACTATTCCTCCCACTGACACCAATGATGGGGCACTATTCCTCCCCCACACTGACACCAACGATGGGGCACTATTTCCCCCCCCCCCTGACCCCAATGATGGGGCACTATTCTCCCCTCCACCACACTGACATCAATGATGGGGCACTATTCCTCCCACTGACACCAATGATGTGGCACTATTCCTCCCACTGACACCAGTGATGGGGCACTACTCCTCCCACTGACACCAGTGATGGGGCACTACTCCCCCCACTGACACCAGTGATGGGGCACTATATCCCCCCCACTGACACCAATGATGGGGCACTACTCCCCCCACTGACACCAATGATGGGGCACTACTCCCCCCACTGACACCAATGATGGGGCACTACTCCCCCACTGACACCAATGATGGGGCACTATTCCTCCCACTGACACCAATGATGTGGCACTATTCCTCCCACTGACACCAACGTGATGGAGCACTACTCCTCCCACTGACACCAACGTGATGGGGCACTACTCCCCCCACTGACACCAGTGATGGAGCACTACTCCCCCCACTGACACCAATGATGGGGCACTACTCCCCCCACTGACACCAATGATGGGGCACTACTCCTCCCACTGACACCAATGATGGGGCACTATTCCTCCCACTGACACCAACGATGGGGCACTATTCCTCCCACTGACTCCAACGATGGGGCACTATTCCTCCCACTGACACCAACGATGGGGCACTATTCCTCCCACTGATACCAACGATGGGGCACTATTCCTCCCACTGACACCAACGATGGGGCACTATTCCTCCCACTGACACCAACGATGGGGCACTATTCCTCCCACTGATACCAACGATGGGGCACTATTCCTCCCACTGACACCAACGATGGGGCACTATTCCTCCCACTGACACAACGAGGGGGCAGTATTCCTCCCACTGACACCAACGATGGGGCACTATTCCTCCCACTGACACCAACGATGGGGCACTATTCATCCCACTGACACCAGTGATGGGGCACTATTCCTCCCACTGACACCAGTGATGGGGCACTATTCATCCCACTGACATCAGTGATGGGGCACTATTCCTCCCACTGATACCAACGATGGGGCACTATGCATCCCACTGACACCAGTGATGGGGCACTATTCCTCCCACTGACACCAGTGATGGGGCACTATTCCTCCCACTGACACCAGTGATGGGGCACTATTCATCCCACTGACATCAGTGATGGGGCACTATTCCTCCCACTGATACCAACGATGGGGCACTATTCCTCCCACTGATACCAATGATGGGGCACTATTCATCCCACTGACATCAGTGATGGGGCACTATTCCTCCCACTGATACCAACGATGGGGCACTATTCCTCCACTGATACCAACAATGGGGCACTATTCATCCCACTGACATCAGTGATGGGGCACTACTCCTCCCACTGCAAAATTACAGTTATGAAGTAGCAATGAAAATAATTTTATGGTTGGGGGTCACCACAACATGAAGAACTGTATTAAGGGGCCGCGGCATTAGAAAGGTTGAGAACCACTGATTTAAGAGTTACAAAGAAAAAAAAAACCAGAATATGTAAAAAGGAAATCAAGACTTAAAAAAAAAAAAAAAAAAAAACAATGACAAGTTGCAAAAAAAGAGTAGAGCAGAATCCCCAAAAAACTTCAAATATATTAATAAAAAGGTCAAGTCTGAGCATGTAGGCCCTTTACAGGATAATTTAGATCTGGTGACTGGAGACAAAGAGAAGACACATTTATTAAATACCCTCTTGAGCTCTGTGTATGCAAAGGAAAATGGAAGAGCTCAGGTCCATTATGGGGATAGTATTGACATAGCCCCAAATGATGGGGGTCTTGAAACATTTAGACAAAACAAAGTTGAATAAAGCACCTGGACCAAATTGCTTCCATCCCCATGTACTCAAAGCGTTGAGATCTGTTATTTCAAAGCCATTGTTTCTATTTTTTGGAGACTCTGGGCTGACATAGTACCACTGGATTGGAGCAAGGCCAATGTGTTGCCTATCCTACTTGGATTTTGCAAATGAGCTTGACACTCTGGGGAATTAAATTAAGGTTTTGCCCACTTTTCTGGCATTAACAGCTTAATAATTGTTAATGCATTGCACCAAATTCAATAACTATTTGCACTACCTTTTTTCCTATCTGTGAGTCATGCACGAAATTCAGCTAGTGCTTCTTTGAGTCACTTTTTAGTTTTGTCACATTGCCCCCAAATTCAAAATTAAATAACAGTTTTCTCCTGCAAAACTGGAGCTAATTAGGACCAACTCTATTTTGGCGCACAAAGAGATTGAAAACAAAAAAAATAAAGATTAATCAGATTAGGACTTGGTTTAGGCTACTGAGTGTTAGTGTTCGTGTCAGTCAGTGTCCATAAGTGGCAGAATTATTGTCAGTGTCATTTAGATAGTGTCATTACTTATTTAGTCATTTTGTTGATGTCATTTAACCACTTCAATACCAGGCACTTTCACCCCTTTTCTGCCTAGGCAGAGTTTTAAGATTTCAGCGCTGCCACAGTTTGAATGCCAATGTATCAGAATACAAAAAGATGATAAATTTCATGTGGCTCCAGTGTAGCATGACTGAGTAGTCATGCTACACTGGACCCACATGAAACTTTTATCATCTTTTGAGACAGCGCTTTCTTTTGGTGTTACTTAATCATTGTTTTTTTTTTCTATATAAAACAAAAAAATGTATTCTGATACATTTTCTTTAGTAAAAATAACCCAAATCAATGTATATTATTTACTCAGCGTGAAAATAAAAGGATGGGATATATATATATATTAAAACTGATCAGTCCTGAAGTACTGACTGCCTATCTCATTTCTTGAGGCCCTATAATTCCAGGACAGTACATATACATCCCAAGGCACTTAATAAAAGGTATGGTGAGTTTTTTGAAGTTGTAATTTTTTTTGTCACAATATTTTGGAAAGCGAAGAAATTAAATAAAGTTTTGGTGTTTTTTTTACATACTGTCACCAGAGCAGTACAGCATCATCATATGACTGGTGTGGCCATGATCAGGGATATTGACTGGTGACAGTTTGTTTTAATTTTATGTTTTTATTTGTTCAGTTGACAATGTAGTCTTTTATTAGGCTTAAGTTGTTGAGACTTAATATGAATAATTTCAATACTACTGGAGTCAATATTATTCTTTTGAAAACATTCTTCAAAAATGTATTTTTAATGACTCCAGTACTGTAATTTGGTAACTCTAAATGGAAGATGTTACCTTGATAGATGTTCTCTAGAGATGAGCGAAGTATTCAAAAATTCGATTCAGCTGATTCGTCGAATTCGAGGAATAAATTCGATTCGAGGCGAATATATTCGCTGCGAATTTAACTTTAAAAAGGGTGTTTCTAGGCTTCAGAGAGCCTTTATATTAGTGCAGAACACTGTACCTTTAATTTAAATGCCCTTGGAGTCTGCTGGGGAAGAGAAATAATACTGTCAGCCAGTATGACATGCAGATGAGTGCCGTCGATCTTAGAATCACCGCACACTTCACTCATTTGGGCAGTCACGGGGCCAAAACCAGAGTGTGGAGCCACAGTGTGGCGGTGGAGGCAGCAGCAATGGGAGGCCATACAGCACCCTATGACAAAATGGAACCCACCAGCAGTGTGAGGAGACCTGAAAGTGGCACATGGCAGAGTGTGGCGATGGAGACAGCAGCAATGGGAGGCCGTACAGGGACCCATGAGACACTCTGGACCTGGCAGCAGCATGAGGAGGCGGTACAGGGGCCCATGACAGATTACGGGCCTGGCAGCAGCATGAGGAGTCGGTACGGGGGCGCATGGCAGATTACGGGCCTGGCAGCAGCAATGGGAGGCCCGTAATCTGCCAGCACCCTATTACAAAAAATGGAACCCACCAGCAGTGTGAGGAGACCTGAAAGTGGCACATGGCAGAGTGTGGCAATGGAGACAGCAGCAATGGGAGGCCGTACAGGGACCCATGAGAGACTCTGGACCTGGCAGCAGCATGAGGAGGCGGGGGGGTACAGGGGGCCCATGACAGATTACGGGCCTGGCAGCAGCAATGGGAGGCCCGTAATCTGCCAGCACCCTATGACAAAATGGAACCCACCAGCAGTGTGAGGAGACCTGAAAGTGGCACATGGCAGAGTGTGGCGATGGAGACAGCAGCAATGGGAGGCCGTACAGGGACCCACGACAGATTACGGGGACCTGGCAGCAGCAATGGGAGGCCCGTAATCTGCCAGCACCCGTATGACAAAAAAATGGAACCCACCAGCAGTGTGAGGAGACCTGAAAGTGGCACATGGCAGAGTGTGGCGATGGAGACAGCAGCAATGGGAGGCCGTACAGGGACCCATGACAGATTACGGGCCTGGCAGCAGCATGAGGAGGCGGGTACAGGGGCCCATGACAGATTACGGGCCTCAATGGCTAGCAGCAATGGGAGGCCCGTAATCTGCCAGCACCCTATGACAAAATGGAACCCACCAGCAGTGTGAGGAGACCTGAAAGTGGCACATGGCAGAGTGTGGCGATGGAGACAGCAGCAATGGGAGGCCGTACAGGGACCCATGACACACTCTGGACCTGGCAGTAGCATGAGGAGGCGGTTACAGGGGCCCATGGCAGATTACGGGCCTGGCAGCAGCAATGGGAGGCCCGTAATCTGCCAGCACCCTATGACAAAATGGAACCCACCAGCAGTGTGAGGAGACCTGAAAGTGGCACATGGCAGAGTGTGGCGATGGAGACAGCAGCAATGGGAGGCCGTACAGGGACCCATGAGACACTCTGGACCTGGCAGCAGCATGAGGAGGCGGTAAGGGGGCCCATGGCAGATTACGGGCCTGGCAGCAGCAATGGGAGGCCCGTAATCTGCCAGCACCCTATGACAAAATGGAACCCACAAGCAGTGTGAGGAGACCTGAAAGTGGCACATGGCAGAGTGTGGCGATGGAGACAGCAGCAATGGGAGGCCGTACAGGGACCCATGAGACACTCTGGACCTGGCAGCAGCATGAGGAGGCTGGGTACGGGGGCCCATGGCAGATTACGGGCCTGGCAGCAGCAATGGGAGGCCCGTAATCTGCCAGCACCCTATGACAAAATGGAACCCACCAGCAGTGTGAGGAGACCTGAAAGTGGCACATGGCAGAGTGTGGCGATGGAGACAGCAGCAATGGGAGGCCGTACAGGGACCCATGAGACACTCTGGACCTGGCAGCAGCATGAGGAGGCGGTACAGGGGCCCATGGCAGATTACGGGCCTGGCAGCAGCAATGGGAGGCCCGTAATCTGCCAGCACCCTATGACAAAATGGAACCAGCCAGCAGTGTGAGGAGACCTGAAAGTGGCACATGGCAGAGTGTGGGATGGAGACAGCAGCAATGGGAGGCCGTACAGGGACCCATGACAGATTACGGGACCTGGCAGCAGCATGAGGAGGCGGTACAGGGGCCCATGACAGATTACGGGCCTGGCAGCAGCAATGGGAGGCCCGTAATCTGCCAGCACCCTATGACAAAATGGAACCCACCAGCAGTGTGAGGGAGACCTGAAAGTGGCACATGGCAGAGTGTGGCGATGGAGACAGCAGCAATGGGAGGCCGTACAGGGACCCATGAGACACTCTGGGGCCTGGCAGCAGCATGAGGAGGCGGTTTCAGGGGCCCATGGCAGATTACGGGCCTGGCAGCAGCAATGGGAGGCCCGTAATCTGCCAGCACCCTATGACAAAATGGAACCCACCAGCAGTGTGAGGAGACCTGAAAGTGGCACATGGCAGAGTGTGGCGATGGAGACAGCAGCAATGGGAGGCCGTTACAGGGACCCATGAGACACTCTGGACCTGGCAGCAGCATGAGGAGGCGGTACGGGGGCCCATGGCAGATTACGGGCCTGGCAGCAGCAATGGGAGGCCCGTAATCTGCCAGCACCCTATGACAAAATGGAACCCACCAGCAGTGTGAGGAGACCTGAAAGTGGCACATGGCAGAGTGTGGCGATGGAGACAGCAGCAATGGGAGGCCGTACAGGGACCCATGACACACTCTGGACCTGGCAGCAGCAAGAGGAGGCGGTACAGGGGCCCATGGCAGAGTGGCGAAGCGTAAGCAGCCCATTAAATTGAAGGCCATACAGAGGCCTATGTTAAAAATAATAACATGTTTGGGGCATGATTCATGGCGGATTTAGTCAGTTGTGTCAGGAACTGGTGGTTTGAAATCCAGACTAATCCATGCCTGATTCATTTTCACAAACGTGAGTCTCTCCACACTTTGGGTGGACAGTCGTGGCCTCCGCGGAGTTACAATACCTCCTGCCCGCACTAGTGAAAATACACGCGCTCCGATGCCACGCTACTGGCCGGGCATGACAGCCTTTCAAGGGCAAATTCAGCTAGTTGGGGCCAAAGGTCAAGTTTCGTTCCCCCAGTAGTCAAGGGGGGTTGTCTACCTCGGTTGGCAGGGTGCTGTCCAAGTAGGCCCAAGCCTGTTGTTTGTGAGTCCTGCTCCAGGTCCACCTGATGCTGCTGCTGCTGCGGCTGGTTAGTAGTTTCCTCACTGCGCTGGTGAAGAAAGCTACTCATCATCGACTGCAGACTGAGGCAGCCCGCTGCTGGTGGAGCTGCCACTGCTCCTACCACCCCACCCCTCCCCTGCTGCCATGGCAGCGGAACGCGAGCGCCACAGGGCCCACAGTGTCTGAGGATGGACGTTGGCGCAGAAAGGCAGAGACCAACTGACTACATAGGTGGTTTTTATAGTACGTTATTTTGGCCTCCATTCTCAGCAGGTGTGAAAAAGGCCACCATTTTTGAACGGGTTAGCGAGGGTCCAACAAGGTGGACAGCCAAAAGTCATCCCTCTGTCTGATGGTTATTATTCGGCTGTCGCTACGCAAGCAACCGAGCATGCTATGGGCCATTTGTGCCAAGGAATGCGAGGGACTCCCTGCCTCCATCTCCACAGCATACTGCCATGGTGGTCTGGGTCCTCTGTCTCCTCCTCCTCCTCTACCAGATGCTCCTGTCCTCCACTCCTGTCCGCTGAGTGGAAAAACCACCCATTTCACTCAATAATTCCTGAGCACCAATGTCCTCCTCTACCTCCTCCTCTCTCTTCTGTGTCCTGCCCCCACAGGGGTCATGTGGCGTTGAGATCTGTGCGCCACGTCTACCGCACCCTGACCAGCCATTGTTAACAGCATTTGTTCCAGGACGTGCAACAGAGGAATGACGTCGTTCATCCCATAGTCCTGCCGACTCACGAATAGCGTGGCCTCCTCAAAGGGCCTGAGCAAGCGGCAGGTGTCACGCATGAGCTGCCAATGGCTGACATCTAAGTTACACAGGGGGGAGTACCTTTATCCGCTTGTAACATCAGGAAATCGGTGATGGCCTTTCGCTGTTCGTAAAGGCGGTCTAACATATGTAGGGTTGAATTCCACCTTGTTGCAACGTCACAGCATGAGGAGTCGGTACGGGGGCCCATGGCAGATTACGGGCCTGGCAGCAGCAATGGGAGGCCCGTAATCTGCCAGCACCCTATGACAAAATGGAACCCACCAGCAGTGTGAGGAGACCTGAAAGTGGCACATGGCAGAGTGTGGCGATGGAGACAGCAGCAATGGGAGGCCGTACAGGGACCCATGACAGACTACGGGCCTGGCAGCAGCATGAGGAGGCGGTACAGGGGCCCATGGCAGATTACGGGCCTGGCAGCAGCAATGGGAGGCCCGTAATCTGCCAGCACCCTATGACAAAATGGAACCCACCAGCAGTGTGAGGAGACCTGAAAGTGGCACATGGCAGAGTGTGGCGATGGAGACAGCAGCAATGGGAGGCCGTACAGGGACCCATGACAGATTACGGGCCTGGCAGCAGCATGAGGAGGCGGTACAGGGGCCCATGACAGATTACGGCCTGGCAGCAGCAATGGGAGGCCCGTAATCTGCCAGCACCCTATGACAAAATGGAACCCACCAGCAGTGTGAGGAGACCTGAAAGTGGCACATGGCAGAGTGTGGCGATGGAGACAGCAGCAATGGGAGGCCGTACAGGGACCCATGACAGATTACGGGCCAGCCATGGATCAGCAGCATGAGGAGGCGGTACAGGGGCCCATGACAGATTACGGGCCTGGCAGCAGCAGCAATGGGAGGCCGTAATCTGCCAGCACCCTATGACAAAAATGGAACCCACCAGCAGTGTGAGGAGACCTGAAAGTGGCACATGGCAGAGTGTGGCGATGGAGACAGCAGCAATGGGAGGCCGTACAGGGACCCATGACAGATTACGGGCCTGGCAGCAGCATGAGGAGGCGGTACAGGGGCCCATGGCAGATTACGGGCCTGGCAGCAGCAATGGGAGGCCCGTAATCTGCCAGCACCCTATGACAAAATGGAACCCACCAGCAGTGTGAGGAGACCTGAAAGTGGCACATGGCAGAGTGTGGCGATGGGATGAGACAGCAGCAATGGGAGGCCGTACAGGGACCCATGACACACTCTGGACCTGGCCCACATGGGCCCCCTGGCCACGCTTGACTTTCTGGCCACATAGTCGACATACGGCTACGTTTACTTCCTCGGGCGGCTTGACGAAAAATTGCCACACCGCCGAGTAGGAAACTTTGCCTCCGCTACTCCTCACTGGCTGACTGCTACTTCCTCCGTGCACACCGGCACCACTACTGGCCGTGGTGGTAGGCTGCAGTGGCACCACCTCAGCTGGTGCTACTACTCCGTGGCCGTTTGCCTCCACTGACACTGCTGCGACCCTTGCTGCCTCCTGGGCAACCCACCGACTGTTTTGCTCGCTGCCAAGCTGGGTGCCAAGCTCTTCTCCTGATGATGCGGAAGCAATAGCCTGATGACGACGAGGCTGCCAAGTGCGATCAGCCTCATCATCATCAATTAGGGTCTCCGCCTCACTACTAGCCCCCTCGGCTGCGTGTGTGGGTCAGGAGACAGACCTGTCTCTAGACCGGCTACCGAGCCACTCTCCTCGCCAGTACTTCTTCGCCTGGCTGCTGAAGAGGCGGATGTCTCCCCCCGTTCCTGACCGCCCTCTGTTAGCTCTTCCTCACTGTACAGTGGGGCTGAGCCCACAGCATGCGATACTTCGCTTGGTGAGGGAACACCAAAGGACAGGGGCAGGTAGAGGACACGTGATTTCAGTGGGCTTGCTCCCGGGCCATGCCAACTAACGGTTGTGTCTGACGTACCCACCGACCGTTGGCTGTAGGTGTCAGAGGTGACCTGGGAAGAGGAAGACGACCGAGCCAACCAATCGATGACGGCAGGGTTGTCGGTGGAGACACGACCGCTGGATGACACCGGGAGCACTGGCCTCTGGCTGCGACTAGTGCTGCCTCGACCCCTTCCTCTGCTGCCACGTCTGCTCGCTCCTGAAACATTGCCTCCTCTGCCACTCCTCTGCGTGTGTTGTCCTGACATACTCTTTAATTCAACGATTCTGTGTCCCTGAGTAACGATTCTGTGTCCCTGAGTAACAATTCTGTGTCCCCTGAGTAACAATTCTGTGTCCCTCAGTAACAATTCTGTGTCCCTGAGTAACAGTTCTGTGTCCCTGAGTAACAATTCTGTGTCCCTGAGTAACAATTCTGTGTCCCTGAGTAACAATTCTGTGTCCCTGAGTAACAATTCTGTGTCCCTGAGTAACAATTCTGTGTCCTCTCAGTAACAATTCTGTGTCCCTCAGTAACAATTCTGTGTCCGAGTAACAATTCTGTGTCCCTGAGTAACAATTCTGTGTCCCTGAGTAACAGTTCTGTGTCCCTGAGTAACAATTCTGTGTCCCTGAGTAACAATTCTGTGTCCCTGAGTAACAATTCTGTGTCCCTGAGTAACAATTCTGTGTCCAATTCTGTGTCCCTCAGTAACAATTCTGTGTCTGTCCCTGAGTAACAATTCTGTGTCCCTCAGTAACAATTCTGTGTCCCTCAGTAACAATTCTGTGTCTGTCCCTGAGTAACAATTCTGTGTCCCTGAGTAACAATTCTGTGTCCCTGAGTAACAATTCTGTGTCCCTGAGTAACAGTTCTGTGTCCCTGAGTAACAATTCTGTGTCCCTCAGTAACAATTCTGTGTCCCTCAGTAACAATTCTGTGTCCCTCAGTGAGTAACAATTCTGTTCTGTGTCCCTGAGTAACAATTCTGTGTCCCTGAGTAACAGTTCTGTGTCCCTGAGTAACATCTGTGTCCCCTGAGTAACAGTTCTGTGTCCCTGAGTAACAATTCTGTGTCCCTCAGTAACAATTCTGTGTCCCTCAGTAACAATTCTGTGTCCCTCAGTAACAATTCTGTGTCCCTCAGTAACAATTCTGTGTCTGTCCCTGAGTAACAATTCTGTGTCCCTGAGTAACAGTTCTGTGTCCCTGAGTAACAATTCTTTGTCCCTGAGTAACAATTCTGTGTCCCTAAGTAACGATTCTGTGGC